ACAGAAATGGAGGGAAGGAAAAAAAAAAGGCAAACTGGAGATTTCAGCCAAGAAATAGTCTGTTTGCTTCTGCATAATGCCACAACACTTTACTTGCTTTTGAGTAAATCAGCAAGACATAAAAAGTTAATTAGCGGTCTTAAGATGTGGTAGACATGATTTTGAACTTTGGATAGAACCAGGCTTTTAAGATATTTATAACACTTTCTCGCACCAAAAAATGTCTAGGCAACGGCTAGGTTGGCCCACATTGCAGTAAAGGCTGTAAAACTGTGCGATGGCTGTTCATGAGGATGCTGGATGGGGTGGAGGAGGCATAAACCACAGGGATTTAACACAGGAGAATGTGGGGCTGTTGTTTGGTGGCGTTTTTACTCGCTGTTTATATGTCTTCATTCACCGTTTTCTGTCACTGTTGTCAGTGTTAAAAATGCGTTTTGCTATAACATAAACTCTTTGCAATAAAGTAAATTAATGTATAAAATATTCTTTACTTGATGTGGATAAGAGCTTCGACTTTTTTATATATTGTGGGTCTTTTCTAACATCAAATGTACCGTATGTTTCCAAATGCACAGCCAAGGGAGATGGAGTTCTGGTTTAATTTCTAATATTTTTATGCACACTGCACTAATACAGCAAAATCTGCAGCATTAGACACTCTAATAATTGCTGTCTTGCACCCTGCATGTTTTGTTTTGTCCTGCCACACTGGTTTGTATGAGGTGTGTCAGAAAACTTCCAGGACTGGCAACATAAAAGATAGATTTTAAATCCAAACTACAAACTACGAGTTTTGCGATTCAAAGTAATCGCCCTGGAGTCAAACACACTTTCCCAGCCTTCTCTTCATGCCGCCATGCACTCCTGGAAGGATTCTTCCAGGATCCTCCACAGCTCCGTCATCACAGCCATCTTGATGTCCTCCACGTCTTCTAAACGGGTCCCCTTGATGACCCCCTTGAGCTCGGGGAGGAGGAAAAAAATCCCACAGAGCCAGGTGGAATGAGTAGGGAGGTTGCTCCAGCACGGCCATGTTCTTATCAGCCAGGAACTGTGGGATGCTCAGGGCGTTGTTGTCATGGTGAAGCAGCCACGACTCGTCCGGCCACAACTCTCGTCTCTTCCGAATGAAGCAAACGGATCTCTTTGTAGACATGCTGGTTGATCGTCCGAAGGGGAAAACTCGTAGTTTGGGTTTGAAATATATCTTTTGTGACACCAGTCCTGGAACTTTTCTGACACACCTCCTATAATCTACGACCACCAATGAAAGTGAGGTTTGTTTGGGTACGTGGGAACAATCGCACATCACTTCAGCTTCCATTCGTGGTGTTGTTAGCATTTGTGAAGATACTCCGCATGAGATTCTACAAAGGTTCTGTTACTTCCAATTTTACTGCTTAGCTGTAACCAAGCGGTTGTTGGGGTTTTTGTTAAGGCTAGCCAGCAGGTTTGGCCACCTACGTCTTGCCTGGATCAAGTACACAAGCTCCACAATTTTTAAACATACAACAGCATTTATTTTTGTTCAAAAATGTATGTATTTCCATTGTAATCCAGCTAAAACCAAACCCATATTTACAGTACCACTCAAAGTATACCATAAGTTATATTTCAGGCTACCCCAAAAGAAATGGTATAATTTTTTTATAAGTGTCGATTCCATCGCTGAGCCAGATGTGATCACGTTGGTCTCCACCATCGTTACAGTTCCATCTTTTAATTACAGATACATTTTGTATTTTTTTAATTAATTTTTTTTGATTAAACAAACAGAAAGACCCAGCGTTGTTTCCTTCATGATACAACATCACAGCAAACTGAAAAAACAATCCAACAAGCTAATGATCGGTTGTGTCATCAATGATATCCATCCATAACATGCACCCATTTTACAAATTCAAATGGTCACTTCAGGATTCCACGTGCTGACTGTAGACTCAAGGTCTTCTTTAGTCCTTTCAGTCTCAAAAAAAACCCCCACAGCCCAACCAAAGAAGCCAAGTCGAGGCGGGTTCGTATTATATGCAGAGAGTCTGTGTGTGTCAAACCTGAATGGCTCCAAAGAGACTCTTCATTATGTTCTGATGAGGATGTGGGTCGACTCATGAAAACCTTTACTGTGAACCTGAGATCTGTTAAAAGGTACCCTGTGGAGTTTTTTCACTTGTACAGTGGTTTTTCTATGAGTTCGGCTTTGCTTAGCGGATGACGCGACGCCCATTCCCGCAAAATGGGGCGACACTTTCGGCGATCTATACTGTAGGTGGACGTGATGCTTGTAAACAGCGACGTAAGCACTATCGGTTTTCAAATGTTCACACACACAAAAAAAGAACTCTGCAGATGTTTTACGAGGCTGGAAATGGATGTTCACAAAACATGAAGGAGTTTTGGGTGAGAAATCCCGAATGGAAAACTGGCTGTTGTTTGTTTCTAAGAAAACTCCACAGAGCATCTTTAATATTTCAGACAGTAATATCTTGAAAATGCATAATAATGGAGGTGATTTTTGACTTTAATAATAACATGATCAATAATAATGTGATTGAAATTTTACCCAACATGATTTCAAGTGACAGAAATTAGACCTTTGGATTACACTGGAGCACTTTGCGCTATCAGTTTAACCTTGCTGTGTCTCTTTGTGTTGCATTTGTTAAATCTGACTCAGCATCTTATGCCCAAATGACCATTCTCTAAGCCCTGTCCCCCTTTCTTTTCACTTTTTCTGTTCTCTCGTGGCACATATGCAGCCTGCATCATCAACAGAGAACGGTTTACCCACCGAAATCTTGAGCAAATTTTGGGACAACAGTTTTTTTTTTTTTGGTTGTTTTTCAAGTGGCTGAAATCTCTTGAAAACTAAATGTTATCTCTGAGAAAGTAATTTTCTTTCTGAAAGCTCTGATTTATCTGAGCTGGCACTAAAAGAGAAATGACAGAAAAAGCAACACGGATGACTCACGAAGTCTGTTGTTAAAGATAATGAAACACGGAAAACTAATATAGTTCTGCATTGAGTAAGTATAATATTTTTAACCACCACACGTCCATCTGCGCAGTCAAACAACCGTCATTCGGTGCTATTGCGCTGCTACGTTCGGATCAGCTGGTCGATTGGTTGGTCGATACGGTCACATCTGACTGAATTCTCATTGGCTGGACAATCACCGGTGTTCCCCTCATGAGGAGAAGAATGCGACATCAATAGCCTTCCAGGATAAATCCATTGTTTTTAGTGGCAGACGGAACAGGACACCCGGGCAACTTTGAACCCATCCAACCCAGTGAAGTCTGCTAACTTATTTCTTTTCATTCACTTAACATTTAGTGAAAGTGGGAATCTTATAACCCTTTCTATATTAAATAACAATATAAGACTAGTTTCAATGTGTAATTACTGAGGCTAGTTAATCTAGAGAAAATAGACTTTATTCCTGCCGTCACCGTTTGATTGGTTTGAAGACTTTCTTTGATTGGCTACAGCCCTGCAAATTAGTCCTGTATCGTCGGCATTATTAGTGTTTTGAGCTTTCGATTTGCTTGTTCAGTGCTAAACTGTAGCGAATGTTTGTGTCTGTCTGGTTGGTTTGTTATTGATCGAGACAGTTGGGCTCTTCGATAACATGACAGCCGCCATCTTGAATTGTCCAATGATGTGAAATCATAAACATGGGAATCTATATTATTATTATTATTACCCCCACAGGTTCAAGGTCAAACATAAAATTCCTCAACAGCTGATAATCCGCGAAGACGACAAGGATATAGCAGCACTAGCATTGCATTGCTAGAGTATAATAAGTACCAAGTTCTTGGTTAAGGTTAGCGGGCCTTTGTTGTCATGGTTACCATGTTAAAAATGCAGGGAAGGTTATGGACAAGCATTGGCTTAAAGAAAAAAAAAGGTTGAATATTGGTTTGAAACAGGTAACAAATGGTTTCTCAGCCCATCCATCCACCCCGCCATCCTCCCTACACTGACTCTAATGATTTTTACTTCCTGTTTTGCTCCATTCGTATTTACTATGACCACATGACAAACATAATACTTGACAGATGTGCCACGTTTCCTCACAGCTGCTAAGGTGTGACCGGATCGTCGTTATTCAGGGGAGAGATTTAGAAAATGGTCAGTTTGCTTATCACTGGTTTTGTAGATTTTTTAGCATAACCTGTTTTGAGGGAATATTTTCGCCGCCTGTCCGTTAACTCTTGGGTTTTTGGAGGGGAAGTCTTCCCTTTATGTCGCCGTGAAAAGCAAGGGCCCGGTGTGAAGTGATCTCTGTCATTTTAATTAAATACCACGAAGCCGAGTGAACTATTTCAAAATCATGCAAAGTGAGTTACCCATCCCTTTCAGATCTCCACCGGCTCCATCTGTTCAGGTCTGGGGAAATGTCAGGGTTGCAGTCTCTTCCTCTTATTCTCACCCCGTAGCTATGTAACCTGAAATTCACACGTCTCACATTCTCTTTGAAAATTACCTTCTTTAGTTACCATTTGATATCGGGACCGGCATATTTTTATGTCTCACATCATCATCCCACAGCTGAGTGTTTCTCTGTCGCCGGGGGTTCAGAACATCAGTGGAAATGTAGTAAATCCTCCAGTGAGTGGATGATATTTTTCATAATTGCTTTCTGTAGCCAGGATTTGAATGTGGACAAGTGATGATCACAGCCAAACATCTCACACTGTTGTCTTTAAATAACATTCGCCCCTCTGAGAGCCAGCCAGGAAATGATTGAATCTTTACATCAGTCTTTGTGAGTTCACACAACAAATAAAAACACAGTACAGTGTAGACATCAGAGTCCTTATGGTCTATTTCACACTTTGGACTGATCTGTACCCTCGCTGTGCAGCCTCCGATGATTTGTGTTAGACTGTGGATGTGTAGGAGGAGGCCAGCACAGCAGTTAGTTTAGAGTTCGGTCAGTTGAGCTCAGCTGATATCAGTTTAGTTAAGCTGTCTTTAGTGCAGCTCTTGTGCTTTTCATTCAGCTCATCTCCCGTTTGTTCAGCTCAGCTCGGTTCGGCAGTGTGAAATAGACTTGAATGATTCCTGCCTCTCCTCTCGTGGCTCTGCAGCTTCACGTTTTTATCTTCTACTTCAGGAGCCACTGATTCACTGTAGGAGAAGAGAAGAGAAGAGAAGAGAAGAGAAGAGAAGAGAAGAGAAGAGAAGAGAAGAGAAGAGAAGAGAAGAGAAGGAGGAAAGGAAATAATTAGTACAGAAATGATAAGCAGAACAAAGGGCTGCCTCAGGTTTCAGAAGTTGCGAGGCAAAAGGCAAAGCAAGAAACAGAATGTGCGCATGAGAAAAGGATAATGAGAGGCAAGAAAGGTAGAGGAGTAATAACTCTAAACCCCTGTCCCAGTTCCATACTATTTACTAGCTGTTAGCGGGACACATGAGCGTGTCACAGCGGAGAAGTGATGAAATTATGCATATTCAAAACTGCCACGGCGCAGACTAAATATTATCATTTTTTGAGTGTGCTGTCGATGGACATTCAATTCCCACAATGCAATGCACAAAGGAAATGGAAGCATTATGCAAAGCTGGAAAAAATAAACTGCAGATGGTGGCATATAGCACCACAGAGATCTTTTAACGGGCATAAATTTTCTGTTTTTTTTTTTTTTGTCTTGAGAGAAACATGCTGCTTTCTTTTTTGTGATGTGTAATTGGCAATATGTTGATATTTTTGCATAGAAACTGCTAACATTAGGCTTATATGCTGTGATTTTTAGTATGCAGAGCTATGTTAAACTCATTAAAAATTAACCTTCCAGAGATTTTTAAGATTTGTTGGTTAGTTCGTACACACTAACTGGGAAAACTCTACACTATAAAGGTTAGTAAAGGTATTAATTAACAGATTTTGTATGCAAAGTGAAATTTAAACGTTACAATGCACAAAACATATATATAATTAGTTCTATTGTTACACAGTATGTGGGCTAAAAATGTAAAGTGATTGTAAAGTTTCTCCAGTCGTGTTTTACAGCATGGCTTCATTAAAGTCAAAACGGTTCATCATCTGCGTAACATGAACACACAGCTACCACCACTGTTCAAAAGCATCATGGTCAGAAGAATGTATACCGAGGTTTGACCACACAGTTCATGCATCTTGAAAGATGTCAAAAAAGCCAAAAGCATCCAAGAATCCAAAACACATTCCAGACAGAGCAACATCTGCACCGAGATGCAGACGAGGAGTGTCAGAAAAGTTCCAGGACTGGTGTCAAAAGAGATATATGAAGAGTTCATTTGCAAAAACAGATAACTAAAAGCAGATAACTCCGTCTTCACAAACCTTCAGAAAACCCGCTATTCCATCGTCTACCTGAGACAGTATCAATCAAACTTAAGTTATCTCTATTTTTGTCATTTTTACTGAGTCAAATCCACTCAACTTCAGTTTGATTGATATTATCTCAAGCAAACAACAAAAAACAACAAGTTTTCTGAAAATCTACAAAAATGGAGTTATCTGTTTTTGCAAATTAACTCTTCATATTTCAAATCGAAACTACAAACTACGAGTTTTCCCCTTCTGACAGTCAACCAGCACGTCTACAAAGAGATCCTGTTTGCTTCGTTCAGTGCAACAGAAGAGGCGAGAGTTGTGTCAGGACAAGTCAAGGCTGCTTCACCATGACAACGCTCCTGCTCACAATGCCCTGAGCATCCCACAGTTCCTGGCTGAGAAGAACATGGCCGTGCTGGAGCAACCTCCCTACTCATTCCACCTGGCTCTGTGTGATTTTTTTCCTCTTTCCCAAGCTCAAGGGGGTCATCAAGGGGACCCATTTAGAAGACGTGGACGACATCAAGATGGCTGTGACGACGGAGCTGCAGAGGATCCTGGAAGAATCCTTCCAGGAGTGCATGGCGGCGTGAAGAGAAGACTGGGGAAGTGTGTTAGACTCCAGGGGGATTACCTGGAAGGAGACAACTTGTAGTTTGTAGTTTGGATTTGAAATCTATCTTTTGTGACACCAGTCCTGAAACTTTTCTGACACTCCTCGTATGTTGAAAGCACCATAGAGTACTGATTTAGGCAAGTTAACTTTATATGAAGTGCAGTAAACAGCAGAAAAAATAACTTCAATCAAATTCTGTTCGGAGCAACTTTTCCCCCTTTAAAACAGCATCAACTCTCTTAGGTACCCTAGCACACAGTTTTCCAAGGGACTTGGCAGGTGGGTTGTTCAGCATCTTGGAGAGCTTGTCACAGTTCTTGTGTGGATTCAGGCTGTCTTAGTGTCTTCTGTCACTTCATGTAATCCCAGTCTGACTCCATGATGTTGAGATCAGGGCTCCGAGGGGGCCCAGACCATCTGCTACAGGACTTCATGTTCTTCTTGTGGCAGAGGATATTTCTTTATGACTCTGGCTGTATGTTTGGGGTTGTTCTCATGCTGCAGATTGAATTCGGGCTCAATCGGATGCTGCCCTGATTTTACTGCATGATAGAAAAGGGAGGGAAAAAAAAAAAAAAAACATCTGACGTGCCCTAAACTTTGGCAAGACTACTGTATCTTGTTAAAATAAAGTGCTTTAAATCACATCTGAATTTTCTATGCCCTTTGAAGGACCTCTTCAAACACAGTGCACATGTGCAGCAATGAGGAATCTGCCAGAAGAAAGAACCCCCCACTTCTCTCATCAAACACACATGCAGATATTAGATTTTGAGCAAATTCGCCTTTAAAGAGGACGCGGAGGCAGCAAACAGTGTTGTTACGAGTGAAAGGTTCAGATGGCTGCACTTTAACGCTTTGAAATGTGACTGGGCATTATTAGCAAACTGTTTTGTGCTGGTTCTGAGGCAGGAATAAAGCAGTTGGTTTCAATCAGCTGAGGCAAGCTGGGACTCGAAGCTCTCATCCTCTGTTACGATGGTCAGCTGAGCTTCTTTTTTTTTTTTTTTTGAGGGATGTGGTTCTGCTGTTTGACTAGTATGATTAAACGAAGAGAGACTTAGCCATTTTCATTGCAATGAAGTGATATTTCACCCAAATCCAACAATGTCGTTTTTTTTCTAATCTGGCTTTCATTGTTTTTGAACAACAATGGGGCTCTGAAGCGCAGAGGAATAAATTATATGGCGCTTTGGGTACACATACTTTATAATACAGTGTACTACACTCTCTGCTAAATAAAAGCAGCCTTGGACATCGCACAACAAGCGGAGATGGCAGGTATTTGAGCATCTGTGGCTGTAAAAAAGAACTCCCTGATTGTAACAAATCAGCAGATGTTTTCTTATTTGACTTGTTTTTGTTGTTGTTGTTGTTTGGACTCCAAGCACATTATAAGATGGGACTGGTATGAAAACAATGGGCTAGTGAAGGTATTTTAATCCTGATACACATTGTGTACTGGCTACCGGCTGCAACTAGATGCAACTTCGGAGAGAAGTTGCGCAATAAGGCAGTGCTATTCATCAGTCAGAGGCAATCACTGAGATCAACTCGACATATCAGGGCACAAAAACCCCTGCTGCTAATGCTGAAACAAATACAAGAAATAAAAAAAAAGACAGAACTGAATCGAAGGAGTATATGTTGGAAATTCTTGGCTAAGAGTGAGAAAAGCATAAAGTGAAAGCGAGAGAGGAGGATAAAATTCAAATTGAAAAAGCTAGTAAAGGAGAATATCTCTAGCCAAAAGAGGAATTCATTCATTTATTTCCCAACAGGAATCACCAGCGAGCGCTCCCTGCTTCCCTGCATCTTCTCACCGTCTCTCCTCAGACGGCAAACTTTAAGAGCCGGAGTCGGTCCAGTCAGAACGTTCCTCTGCACCTGTGTGCTCCAACACTTTGGCTGTGCATCAGTCATCATTTTACTCCAACATTATCTCGGCCCTCTGGCTTGCTCGGGGATCACATGTCTTGATAATTTCCATGGAGAATGCAGTAATGTTTGACTGCTCCGAGAGTTAGCGGCTCAACTGCAAACACAGCTCGGGGCTGCTGCATAGTTTATTTCACAGGTTGCAGTGTTCACAGTGCAGATGGTCTCCACTAACCTCATCATTCAGTATGCTTAAGAAGTGTGTGTTTGTCAATCCAGAGTGAAGATGTGCAGTTCCACACACACACACACACACACACACACACACACACACACACACACACACACACACACACACACACACACACACACACACACACACGGCCCTGCCAAGTCCTTTCCGCAGATTTAACCCGGTTTCACTGCTGGTACGGTGCCATGAAGAAGTATTCGACCTCCTCCTGATTTCTTCTATTTTTGTGCGTATTTCAAACTAAACTGTGTCAGATTTTCACACCAAATGTAGGAGATTAGGAAAGCAACCCAAGTAAACACAAAATAGAAGTTTTTACTAATATTTATATTAATTAAACGAGAAAAGTCCACCAAAAACCAATTAACCCCTGGACTAAATATCATATAACAACTGCAACCAAACACTGTCGATAACTGAAGATCAGTTTTTGACACTCTGATGTGGACTTTTGGCTCCCTTTTCCTTCCTGAACAGCTTTAGTTAGAGATGTCCCAAGCCCACTCCTAAAGTCTGGGACAATAATGGGAATTTTTAACCGGTCAGCGTCGACGTAAATCTATGCTCAATTCTTTGCTCACATCTGTTGTCATGTGAATGACTTGAAAATGGCACAAAAACAGTCATCGGACACGCCCCTGATATTTAAGATTGCTTTTCTCATTTTTCCAAGTTCAATAAAAACCTATTTGCAGCCTGATATGACTGAGGCTATGTCCACAGGATCCATCAACGTTCCGCTTCCCATTCATTGTATATGTAAAAGGCTTCGCTTCCTATTCTGGAGTGTCGTGGGGAGTTTCGAGCAACGAGGCGTAGCGTCACCCTCATGCTCATTTGCATAAAGTAGACTTGACTTCTACTTTTTGCAAATTTGAAGCGGGTAACAGAGGTCCGACGCCCCACTTAACTTTCGGAAATTAGCTGTTGTTGAACTAAAATGAGGACAGATTCAGCAACTGCACAGCTTATTCCTCACCTCAAATGTCTTCAGAAATACTTTTTGCTCAACAATTTTCATAATAAAAGCGAACGTTTGCAGCCAAGCCACCATGTTGGTTCGC